CCTTTATTGCTACTGTATTAGTATAACAAAATTTAATAGGAATGAGTCTTTCTGTCAGCTGATAATTCAGCTAGCTTATAAAATACAGTTTTAAGTTAATTTTGTTTGTAACTAAATTCGGTTAAGTTCTCCTGTATATATTAATAACTTGATCCCCGAACTTTCTTAAGCGCATAATATTATGCATAAATCCTTAACGTTTCGTGCTTAAACCTTTCACGAAAACGCTAATATGAATTCTGTGTTGTATAATCGCATAGAAGAGTAATCACACTACCGGTAGTTTGCCGGCTTAACACGTAACACGAGTGTTCTGTATCGAGGTTTATGTCGTCACGAGGTTTTCTTCGCCTCATATAATAATAATCATTCGATGATATCAGGTAGTGGTCGATGGGGTAAGCGAGGAAGCTCTGAAACAACGGTTACCACAATTGGCGTGGGGTTTGGCTAGACAGGGTGGCCCAAGCGCTGCTCAATTGGCCAGAATCGCGATGCTCAGACTTAGACCTGCTCTTCTTCTCGAGCAACTCTTACAACCGCAGTGTCTCGAAGCAAGAAACGCCAAAGTAAGCTTTATAAAAAGATTCTTGCTACAATTTTCCTTAAACATTTCGATTAACGTCTCAACAACTGTTCGAAAAGTATTAAGAGAATAAACATCATTGTTTCATTACTTCGCACTAATCTCGATTACTTATACTTTTTCTTAATGCGTAACGTTATAGACTAGAGAAAACACTTTACAATTGTTAATCTTCTCATTGGTGACGTTTCCGAGTACGGAATTTAAAGTAGACACCGTGGCTAACAAAATTGCTAAAATGGTGAGGGATCGTCGACGAAGAGTGCGACAGGCCGCGCTCGATACTTTGGCAGTTTTGGCACAGATCTACGAGCCCGAGGTACTTGTTTTGTACAAGTTTGATCATTAAACTTGATTCCTTAATTAATTCTCGATTGATTAAAAGAGTTAAAATATATGCGAAAAGCATGAATCATTTAATGATTGTGTTCATTTAGGAAGTGATTGCAGCAGGAAAGCGAGCATCGGAAGGTCATCACGATGGCGGCGCAATGATGTCCGCTATCAGAGCTCGTCTAGCGCGGAAATCATTACCCTTGGTCTCTGCCGATGGTCTAGTGATGTACGGTTTGCAAATTTCTCCCACCGTACAAATAGCTACAGGTGAGATAAATATGGTACAAAACGTCGAAAAAAAATTTAATTGTCTATATTTCGTAGGACCTGATGTCGATTGGATTGTAGCGGGAAGTGGTTCGGTTTCGTCCGGCGTCGGCCGTACCAAAGGCAAAATTATAGCGACGAGGTCGGAAAAAGAAAGATTTGTAAGGTAATATTGTGAATTAGAGATATAGTATGTACAGCTATATTCAGATAATATTAAATTAAACAGCAACCTTAGGACATACAGGGTGTTCCGGAATGCACGCCATTACTCTGAAAGTGTAAGAAAGCGTTGAATTCTAAGTGAAAAGTTTCTCTTCTATTTTTTCCTCCAATCGCTATTGTGCATACGTGCCGAAAGCACAGACAGAAGAGAAAAAAACGAGCGTCCAAAGTATTTTTATTGTTCCCGTAACAGATGTAACACCAGCTTTGGAGAAGTTCTTGCCTCTTTCTCATATATTAACATTTCTACCCCAATTATATGTTTAACCCTTGAAAAGCTGCTATCAGTATAATATCGTATGCACTAAAACAGAAACCTAATAAAGAAATTCTATTACGGTATTAAAAATAAATTCAAACTCTGAATAAGCATAATAAAATAGTTTAACATCTCTTTTT